GTTGGAATAGGCGAACATTAGTGATAAGCCATGTGTATTTCTCAGTTTCAAATATATAATACTTCGGATCAATTTGTTTCGCTTTTCTACCTTCACGTTGCATTTTGAGTATTTTTTGACATGGAAGATTATTTTTAACACCAAACACAGTGCATCTCCCTTGTACGACAGACTGAATATTAAAAAAACGCTATTTTCTGTGATAAATATTGCTGAATGGTTCGAATCCATCAGAAATTAAAGCGAGGTCATACACTTTAAAATGTGTAGTACTAACATGAAACATTTACATTTATAGATGCCAAATAAACAATTTGCTATTATTAACAATTTCCGCACATGAATAAGTGTTTGTTTTGCACTAAAAAGTTATTTTCAAAAGCAACATCATTTATGTAGTCATTCAGGGTGATATAAGAGAGGTCCGGCTTAGCGGCGAAATAGGCTAAAATATTTGGAGGTCTGAATTAGGTGGACCAATTGAGCGGCAAAATTTTTATATCTGTTATCGAGAGGATTGTGTTGACTCTTTTTCTTCGTAATTGTCAACGGCTCTCGCGCTCTCCGTGTACGTATTTAAAAACAGTGGTACGGACACAGGACGACGTCCGCTTATTAAATACTGCAATTATGACAGGTCTGTTTAACTACCGTAATAGAGTTATATATATACTATTAACATATTTATATTGTTTCAATATAATCAAATACCACTTTGCCGCCAACGTTTGCCAGTATTAATAAACCTGCTGTACTCGAAAACCTGTTTGATTTTGACGTAGTATCAGTTTTGCTGCTTGCTTTATATATATATTTGTAGTTTATACAATTCAGACAATAGAAGACAAATGAACCATTGTACATTCCTCAAGACTTTGCAATTATTCATTGGGGTCCCACACACCAAAAATAAAACCACTGATTTGATAGAGTCATAGGGTTTATTTTTGTTATTACAGATTTGATTGAGAGAGGGGTTCATTTTTTCCCCAACAATAAAATAAATAAGTGCAGAAAAATACAGGTTTTTAATTTATACAATTCAGTTTACGCAGATATAAGTCTTGCTAGATTGTTGTTTCTGTTTTTACCTAGTCTAATCATCGGAAGACGAGCTATGTATTCGAGTAAGCAAGACGCCGACGGTCGATTGACGAATAACTCGCTTACTTCACAACCATATCAAATGATAGCAAGGTGCCCATGCTTGGAAGTGGTATACGACTTACCTGACAATTGCGCTATGAGTAAGAACCTTGATACACCTCAAGTTCCAATGTCGGGTAGAAATCCTAGACGAATCTTTAAAATTTTTGTCTAGCTGGTCTTGCCCACTGGTGAAATTCAGGGGTTTGCGCGAACCTGTTCTTGGAATGCTGTGACATTCAGCTAACCCGTTTTTGTTTCAAACTTTGGACAACCTCAACAAAGTGGTAACGTTCACTGCAGCTGACAACTAGCGTTTTATTTGATGTTTCGAATTTATTTATTCGATTTATTTAAAGCGTATCATGTCAACGTATAATTTACTGAATGTCCTACATATATTTTCTGAAACGAGGAACCCGTTGTTAGTGAGTTCGATACAAAAGAGAACCCGTTCTTATAATTATGAATCCTGCCACTAGTCTCACCATATATAAAGAATCAACATGTATTGGATATAATGTTTACAAAATCGGCTAAGATTGAAGCCATGGTTATGTTTTATCTGATTAACAATAATATCTGATTTAGATATTCGATTTGATTCTGAAATTTAACCAAGGAATATTTCAACTGTCTGCGACATAGGAAAAAGTTGTGAAAACCATTTTTCTAAAAGGTACGCAATTATTGGATCTATCAAGTTTTTCAAATGACGTATGTGATATCTTCGCAATCTTGTGAGCAAATCCAATTCAATGAATTCTTCAACCGAATCTGAATTGATTGTGGAAATTCTAAATTTGAAGGAAAGAAAGGTAGGTGACCGGACAACATTCCGTCTCGCTCCGTCGAATATTTTGCAGAACTAATTGCACCATTCTTAACGAAATTGTTCAATGGCTCACTCTCTAGGACAGGGTGGTCCAAACCTAGGCCCTGGGGCCACATGTGGCCCGCCACTTCATTATCTGTGGCCCGTGTTGCATTTGGAGAGGAATCAAAAGATCGCATTTCGTGTTGTCATCGTCATAAAATTGACCAAAAAATCTGTTGATATTTTGTCCCATCACAAATATCACTGAATTGACTAGTGTTTTAGCTTGCTGAGGCAACTAGCGAAGTTGAATGAGCGAATTCTTAGCACTATTGTGGCCCGCCAATGTAAAAGTAATTTTATGGCCCGCAGAGCTGACAACCTTGAACCACCCTGCTCTACGGTCATGAAATTTTAATTATAGGTCAGTTCCAATCCTCTCTTTGATTAATAAGATATTTGAGCGTCTCATTCATGTTAGGCTTATCAATTTTTTTACAAAAAATTATGTTATAAACAAACACCAAATTGGTTTTCATAATAACCATTTACTCCACATGCAATACATGCTCTCTCATACCATTTAGTTACCATCTCATATATTTGTGACAAATTATGAAGGAAAGAATTTGTCAGTGCTATTTTTTAAAGTCTTTTGATAATTGTTAATCACGATAACCTAACTTGGTATCCGGGGATTACGGCATAAACATCTCTCTTGTTACTTAAGTGATAGAACTCAATATGATCAAGTAGAGAAAATACTGCTCTTGTATCTTACTTTTGTCTCTCTCCACAAGGGTCCTCTATGGACCCCCTATTATTCCTAATCCATATTAATGATCTCGCCTATTGTCCGTTTACCTATCACCGTGCCTTTTCAAAATTATGTGCTGATGACTCGAAACTTATCAATAGTGACAAATCTCACGTGGCTCTTCAACCAATAGTTAATTCTGACATAGTAAAAGTGGCAAATTGGATGGCGTCTAATAAACTAACAATAAACATCGACAAATCCAAAACTACCCGTCGGAAGGAATTTCATCCACTTCTTCCTTTTACTGTTCAGCTTTTTAGTGACTTCGACCACCTCATTATTCGTCGGAAGAAATATCATCCACTTTTTCCTTTTACTGTTCAGCTTTTTAGTGACTTCAACCACCTCATTATTCGTCGAAAATTTTTTTATCTACTTCTTTTCACTGTTCAGCTTTTAAGTGACTTCAACCATCTCACCAGTACCATCCGTCGGAAGAAATTCCATCGACTTCTTCCTTTTAGTGTTCAGAATTTTAGTGTTTTTCAACCACCTCATTATCCGTCGAAAGAAATTTAATCCACTTCTTCCTTTTAGTGTTCAGCTTTTAAGTGACTTCAACCATCTCATCAGAACCACCCGTCGGAAGAAATTTCATCGACTTCTTCCTTTTAGTGTTCAGCTTTTAATGTTTTTAAACCACCTCATTATCCGTCGAAAGGAATTTCATCCACTTCTTCCTTTTAGTGTTCAGCTTTTTAGTGTTTTTCAACCACCTCATTTATCCGTCGAATGAAATTTCATCCACTTTTTCCTTTTAGTGTTCAGCTTTTTTGTCCATTTCAACAACCTCATTATTCGTCGGAAGAAATTTCATCCACTTCTTCCATTTAGTGTTCAGCTTTTAGAATTTTTCAACCACCTCATTATTCGCCGGAAGAAATTTGATCCACTTCTTCTTTTTAGTGTTCAGCTTTTTAGAGTTTTTCAACCACCTCATTATTCGTCGAAAGAAATTTCATCCACTTTCTCCTTTTAGTGTTTTTAAATATTTCTTCTTTGAGAACACTCCAATTTCCGGATTTCAACCGTTTCTTCCTTCAGCCTTTTTAGTGTTGTCCGTCGTGATTCGGGACTGCCGATGGTTGTTAGGATTGCCATACGAGGTAGGTACCGGTCAAAGCGTATATATAATACGGTACCGGTACGTCAAGAGTTAGCCGAGACAGTCACGGATTAAATGCCCCGGTCATTGCAGTATTGCTTTTTTGTTTGTTGATGGAGGCTGTCCATTTATCACTGTTCCGCGACATACGGTAGCGGTAGGTACCGGTACCTCACTGGTGCTGTACCGGTATGTAATAGCTCCATTTTACTTTAATGATAATATTTTTCGTAGTCCAGGCCAATTTCTGTCTTTGTTGTGATTGCTGTACAAGTACATTGTTAAACGTTAAATTGACGTATTAAACATATGCCGGTAATACTTATGAAATAAAAATATCGGGTAGGTACATATATACCGTAGTTCTCTCGCTCCCTGGTACCGTACGGTACTGGGCTATTCCAAGTGACACTACAGGACGATTCCAGAAATTTTGCACGTTGTTGGATGAAATATATTTTCACATTTTCAGCTACATGTTTTGTTTCATTGTCCAATCATTTGCTTTATTGAATATGTAAAAAATTGCACAAAAGTTACACCCAAGGCTTAGTTAATAGATAAAAAAATATAGTAAAATATAGCGTGACACTACAGGGCGGCGAATCCACCATGCACTAACAGTACGTTGTGTTATGCTGTAAATTTTCGCGATGGTACAGTGGGAGCCCATAATATTTTCTGGTGCAGTAGCTGAACTACCCCTCTACGTGTTGCTCAAGTTACGTAATGTAACACTGTAAATCCATGCCAATAATGTGCATATTGTATGTGACACTACAGGGCTTGACACCACAGAACATTTTTCCATTTTGGAATAGCGGCCTCTATCATCTCTAAAATCTGGTAATAAATCGTTAAATGGGTGAAGAAATGTCCTACAGCACTGCAAACATTTAAACTTTGTTAACTTAAATCCAGTGCGTCAATTCCATATGAAATAACTGTACCACACAATCAAACACTTTGTGTCAGGAATCATCACAAAATATGCCAATTATACCAAAATTTCTACATTTCAGGCCATTTTTTATAAACCATCAAAAGCCTGGGTGAAATTTTATATTGTTCGATGAAATGAATGCAGTCCAATATATTTCCCATGTCTTTTGATATCAAAAATAAAAAAATTAACTTTCACTACACTTTTTAAAAAATTGATGGAATTCAACTTTTGCTTGGAATGGCCCTACTGTATACTATTAACACAATAACAGAAAACATCACATGATGCAATGACAATTCGATCTGTTCTGAATTACTTTATTGGAATAGATTTTTTATTTTTAATCGCATCTAAAAGCTTTTTTCGAACATACCTTTAGAGTATCAAAATTAGTCAGCTTGAATGTGGCTTTCATCATGTTTGTTTGAATATTAATGACTTTCTATTAATGGGAAAATCATGTCTGACAATTATGATGACAGTAAACTGGGTGATCCATTTAACTCATCAAAACATCTTCTTGATAATGTTTCCTTCATGACAACATTGTCACCGATGCCATCTCAAAACACCTCTTTGAAGCCTGATGTCAGTACTCAAGGTTCACAAGATGTCAAATTTTTTGATAGAATCCGTAGCAACCTTCATTCAAGGATAACGGAGGAACATGAAAAGAGTAATATTTCTACACTAACTGCTCTTGAGGACCATTTACATGATTATCTAAAAGAAACTGGAAGCACAGCAACCTCCTCCATGCCTGCTACAACTGGGATAGGTACTGGTGGAGTCATGTATGGTTTTGACCTATCACCAGTACATTCCCACGAAAAGAAATTTGCTGCTAATGTTTCGAATACCCTGCAAGAGAACGAGACAGATGAAATATCAACGCGAGAATCATTTAAAAAACATTTCGAGTCAGGAGCTGCTCTGAATTTCATGCAGGCGAAAGTTGCATCTCAAAAACAGCTTAGATCAGAAAAAAGCAAAATAAATGAAGACACTGAAACAGTGATGAGCCAGGTTTTTTCATCTCAAGATGTTACATCTTCTGTCAATGAAATAGGAAACAAAACTAATGAAACTGAACACGTTACTTCAATGATTGTAGAAGGTAAATCTAAGAAACAAGTTGGTAAGAAACCATCAGTGGCATCAACAAAAAAGCCGAGAAGTGGCACATCAAGATTGCAGCAAGGAAATGTTGCCAACTACACAGACCACAGCAGGTTCCCAAGAACAAATCACAAGCAAACTGTAAAATCCGCAAGCGCAACTAGTGTAAAATTTACCCCTACAAAATTAAGCAAAGCATCTCCGGTTATTATGACTCCAAAGTCTCCCAAAACACGAAAAACAACTGTGAAGGTTTCTCCAAAAATAAAGTCCACTTCCAAGGGTCAAATATCAAAAAGGCAAACCAGCACTAAGAATAATATAAAAGAGACTCGGTCAGATACATCAGTCAGTAAATTAATTTGCGATTCAACGGCACTTAGTGATGCTAACTTGAGCTTCACTGATATACCTGCAACATCATCGGTATCACGATCTCCAAATTATATGAAAATACCTTTGAAAGAATCTGCTGCAAATACTAGCTCATTGGATGAGATCGATCATACAAGATTGCACATGGAAGAAAAATTGGATTCGGTTACTTCTGAAAGAGACAAACAGATATTAAAAAATAAAATGCTTGTTCAAGACATTGACAATTTGAAGAAAGACAATTTTGTGCTGAAATCAAAAATTACTCAGTTAATGACTAACCAGCAAAGCAAAAAAATAGAGTCAACTGATGCTAATAAAGAAAATTCATCTAAAGATGAAATTGTCAGATTAAAAGAGGAAATATTGGAACAAGATCAATTAATAACAGGTTACCAGCGTGAAAATGAAAAGATCTATGCTGAGTTAAAAGAAGTTAAGCGTACTAACAAAGATGTGGAAAATGCTATGTTCAACGAAAATTCAAAACTTAAATCAGAAATCGAAGATTTGAAGGAAGCTTTGGAAAGACATGCAAGGTTGGCAGATGAGAAGGAGAAAGTTGGTTCGTCTCCGAACTTTCCTGATATTAGATCGAATGATGATGACTCGACACTCAAGAAAAGAATATTGAGTTTGGAACATCAAATACGCATGGAAGAAGGCATGAGGTTGAAAGCGGAGTCAATGGGAAAACGTCTCGCAAAGGATCTGGATGAATTAGAGAAACAATTACGTATCAATGAATGCAAATCTGAGGAGATTTGCCAAAATCTCAAAACTGAGCATAGAATAGAGCTTGGAAAAATAAAATCCGAACTTGCTGATGCAAGGAGATCATTGGCCAGTAAAGCTGAAAAAATTTCAAATGCTAATCACTCAATCATCCCTCCACCAGAGTCTGTATTGGTTCATTTCCAGTCTCGAGTAAAAAAGTTAGAAGCAGATTTAGAAAATCGTGATGAAATTGCAAACAAAGCAGTTCAACAGGTACGGGACGACTATAATAATGTCAGAATGAAGTATGAAAAACACATTGAATCTTTGGAAAAGCAAATTGAAAGTTTTCGAGAAAGCAGAGGAAAAGTGAACAGAGACGAGAACACAATAAATATGAAAGAATTGCAGAAACAATTATCGGATTCAATATCAAAGCTTCGTGAAGAAAAAGAAGCCAGAGAAATTGAGAGAAATGTGTTGATGGATAACATACAGAAATTGAAACAGAAAACCTCTACACCTGTCAAAAACAAAGTAGTCTCAAGCAGTGAATTTATTGAGCTGAAGAATGCTTGTGAAGCAAAAAATAGAGAAATAGAAAGGTTAACATCTCTTCTCCATAAAACATTTGATAATGGACGACTTGGTTTTCACAAAAATGAAAAAGATGTAAAATTTAAAAAATCTTCATACAATCCTGATGTATTTGAAGCAGATGGTTATGCTGGATTACTGCAACAGAACAGTGAATTAAAAGCTGAACTCGAAAAGCAGTCATTGGAGTTGAAACATAGCAAAGTTAGCAATGAAGCTTTACTTTGTCGATTAGAACAAGTTACTAAAACCATGCAGACTCAACATGAGAAAGAGATATCTCAACGACAAAATCCATCTTCTTCACAGAATGCTGAAAAAACTGTGTTGATGGAACAAAAAATAAATCAGTCACAAAATGAATTGGACAAATGTCACAAAAAGATATTGATGCTAGAAAGTCAAGTTAAAGAATCGTCTGTGTCAAGGGTGCGAGAGCAAGCCCTTCAGGTTCAATTGCAACAACTACTTACCAAACTTCACGAGTCAAATTCTCTTACTTCTTCTGCATCGGCACGTAAAATTATAGCTTTAGAAAACAAATTAAGTGTTGCCGGTGAAGACCTTAGAATAAAAAAAGAAATGTTGAAGGAGACCCTGATTTCTAATTCGTCCTCATTTGCACAAAATGAAATAAGAAAACTTCAGGAACAGTTGAACACTAAGAATAAGGAACTTACAAGGTTTCGACTTGAACTCGATTCCATTTTACTGGTATTACGTGAAATTCAATCGCAAGGTGTCAAAATACCACTACCTCAATATTTACAATCCATTATCTAAATTTACATTGATGTATTCAGTATAACACTCTGATAACATTTTTTTTACTCAAAATTCTTTTTATTTATCAATTTATTGTTGCTGATATCGGTATAAATTAGATATAGATATGTATGTTAGAATTTTTTCTCAATTCAGAGTCGTCTGATAAACAGTTTTCGGAATTGATATTTTTTTTAACTTATAGTCCTGATATATATTTGTATTTTAATATTTGTACGCTAACACTTTATATCCACTGTATACTAGATAATCTAGGTACTGTTAAGTTCGTGTCTATGGTGATTATTGCAACAATTCATGAATGATTTATATCTGAATAACTTTGTCAGATCTGATCTGCTATACCAGGATATATAGTTTTCAAAAAATTCCAGAAGATGAACTTGTATTCAAAACGCTGATTGCTAACATTTACTTAACTGTTGAATGGCTGTCAGCCTGTCTCATTGGTATTGGCTATTAAATAAATTTACGGTAGTTAGTTATGACAATTGTTACCAGTAAAGACAAAGAACGTTATTAAACTCTTTTTTGACAATGAAAAAGGAACATAAATAAATACTGCAATACAGTAATAATATTGTACATTGTTTATACTTGAATTGGTTCTGGTCGTTATAAACATTGATATGTCGAAACGGATATTATAGTCCGGTGAATAACTGGCGTTTTTGGGCTCAACCTTTGTTTTCAGACATGAAATTTTTTATTCTGATTATTCATCTTGGGGTTGTTTCTACCTAGATGGGGAGTTTGCATCCATGAGCGTTGTTTTACAGTCTAAAATATGTAATAGTGTTTTCGTTAAATCTGATGCAAAATTCACGCATAATGAAAAAATATATTGTACGAGGCAACTGCACGGGGAAAAATTGGGATCGAAATTGATTTAAGCAAGCACTAATATGTAACACTACATTTCATGGTCTCGTAGTATGAGTTCATTTCGACTCCATAATCAGCATAACTGGCAATAAAATGATTGATAAAAACAAATAAATGAAAACTTATGATGAAGTCAGGGGAGCAAACGAACGGAAAATAAAGACTTACAAAATATCAGTGGCGGCGCGTGGTCATTTTGACAACCGGGGCAAGCTACTGCGGGACCAAGTCACCCCCATCTACGGGGACAGGATGAGCGCTGTAAGTTCTCCCATCATTTTATGAGTATAAAAACCATTCCATCGGCAAAAGCGACAATTTTTAACGATAAGAAAGTGTCTTTAAAACCGGTCCAAGTCAATGGATTAATAAATATAGACATAGTTTATTTTGAAACCTCTTTCAAAAGGAAAGGCAATATTTACCCAGATAAATACAATGACATATTAACAGAAACTTCGGGAAAGCAGACAAAACCTAAAATAAGGTTTAAAACGTTACTATGAAGAAAGGAAAGGTAATGCAAAGATAAGGACATGCGTCGCTCACTCATAGATATATATGCTGCTAGACTTCTACTGCTTGAACATATATGCAACACGCCGCGGTTTCTTGGAAGCAAAATGCTCAATAACGCGCTGATTAAAGTCATGCATCCCAGAAATAACGTCTCTGTGAATGGATAAAACAGCCAAGGAATTTAATCTATCTTGCTTCATTGTGTTTCTGAGATACGTTTTAATACGCTTCAGCGTGCTGAATGTTCGCTCTGCGTCGGCGGAAGAAATAGGCGTCGTCAAAATGATGTCCAGTAATTTTGCAGACGCCGCAAAGGTAGTTACTAGAGTGTTATCTATGAGGAACCCATGGAGCGCGCAAGTTGATGTGATGTTCAAAAAAGTTTGATTGGTGTATATACATCGCAATTCATTTTCCAATTTACCCACGTTTATTATGGGGTAAAATTTGGAGACAGTAGCCAACAAATGGATGGGAAATTGACGTGCAAATTTTAAAAAATTTTTGGGGTTCATCAAAGAGAACGCGGCAAGGTGTTCAGTGCGCAGACGATCGCCTATTTGATTCACCAGAATGTCACAGCATTCCTTTGCAGACTGTAATATAATGACCTTTGACCCATGTCCGTTCATGTCTGAAGGTGACTTCTAAGTACTGTACTTATCACGTGTACTGTGATACATTAGCTGTTATGAGTTGGTACTGTGTGCATTAACGGTTTTAAGTTTATCTATCTGGAATGTGTTCTGTTTCGAATGTGAATAAAGTCTACAAATGCAATATAGTTGTGCGTGTATACACACCACCTTACAGCAGACAAAATCAAACGCTGCGTTGTGTGCCCGCGGCGTAAAGAAGCACTCCATGTGTCGTCGTATTTTATTGTTTCCCGGATACGAGATACAGCATCGCAGAAGTCTGAAATACATGACTGCACAGACGCTCCATCCATTAGCCTTGACTGCAATGCGCCGTATAATACATCCACGTGATAGAATATTGTGGAGAAAAAAGCGAGAAAAAATGAAAACTCACCATCTTCTAGCAGACGCTCTAGACCTGCCGCCTCCCTCACAGAGCGTTCGTCCCAAACCGGAGAGCTCTGAATGCCATTGAAACACTCAATGAGCTCAGACCTAATTTCGGACACGCCCTGCACCACGCGTGATTGGAAGTTCCAACGTGTTGGTGCACAAGCTGGGAGACGGCGGCTACATATCTGGCGAAGGAGGTCAGAGCGCTTCGGCGAAACGGAAAAAAATGAAGAAAACCCCGAAACATTTGCAAAAAATATACGGACGAGAGGGGTATCAAGACACATATTTTTAATAACGAGGTTAAATTGGTGTGCATAACAATGTAAAAAATGCGCATGAGGAAAATCTTCTTTTATATAAACTTGAACACCATGTTTCGACCCACTCATGACTGCCGCGCCGTCATAAGTTTGAGCTATCAATTTTGACTTCGCGTTGTAAGGCTGTAACACTTCTTTCAGTACAGCCGATATCCCGCAAGCCGTGCGATCAACGATTGGTACAAAGCTGTGAAATCTCTCGGTAGGTTTACCATCTTTCACAAACCGAAAAATCACAGCCAGTTGGGAAACGCACGTGATGTCAGTTGTCTCGTCAGACTGAATCGAAAGGAACTGGCAATTCTCAATTTCCAGAGCCAAATGTTGTAAATAAATTTTATACATTGAGTCGAGCAAATCATTTTGGATATCCTTAGATGTCCCTTTCGAAACAGTTGCGGCATCAAGATGATCTCTCAATACTGTATCTAGGGATGCGGTGTATTCCACCATATCCAAAAATACCCCTCTATTAGAAGAGCCAGCCCGTTCATCGTGCCCACGGAGGGACAGCTCGTGACAACCAATGAACTTCAAAACATCTATCAATCGACCGAGAACATGGCGGTTTTTCTCGACGTTTTGGTTGTGCCGACGAATAGAAACCGCGCGTCCTTCATCCAACTGTGCTGCAATATTAACATTTCCGAATGTTCGGTATTTTACTGCATTGTCCAGATGCTCCATAGAAGATTGATGATCCCTGGCACGCTCGGAAAGATGTTTAAGATCTCTAAAACCAAATTTACACCAACGTGAGTCACGGGCGGTAGCAAAAAGTAGGCAATAAAAACAAAAAAGTGCATTTTTGTCCTCGCTGTAACACAACCATTCGTGTTTTTTATACCAAGTTTCTGCGCAGAATGTACGCCGACGCTTTCCTCCGTCATGGGATTGTTCCAGTGAACAATTTTTTGGTTGATAAGGCCCAAGACGTTGTACCTCTAATTTTTGTTCCAGCGGCAGCTGCGAAAACGGAGTGCGAAGTAGTGCATCAACCTTATTCATTATGAGGTCTAAGGCTAAGAAATGCGAAGCCGGAAAGAAGTGAGGAGCTCAAAAGGAATGTGGAAAATCGAAAGCAAATGGACTAAAGGTCTCTAACTGATTCAAATAGCGAAACAAGCGACAAAAACGAAGGCGAGGAAACTATCAACTCTTCAAGCAACCAACGAACGAGAAGGAATGCGTGAATATGTCAACACGTTGTTGTAAGAAACGTCGGCATTGTGTCGTCATAATTTCGGGGCTAGCCCCGATCGGCCCCGATGATTTAGTAAAAGAAACAGAAAACAAACGAGACAAACGCGGCGAGTGGAAGATAAAAGAGAGAATACGATATACAATGAGCAATCGGGGCAAAATCGGCGTCGCCCCGTCGACGGCTTTGCGAGCGAAAAATGAACCATGTCGGGAGAATATGGCTAGTGTAGACAGTCTGTGCAACCCATATTGAGGTATTTTTCGAATATTTTTTATTATGGCCCTATTGACGCGCCGCCACTGGAGAATATATTGCCCGATTATACCTAGATTCATACCTATTTTTTGCGATCTTGCGAATTTGTTATCGCAGTTAGAAAAATCATACTATCTGCTATGAATTTTTAGAAAGTACAACTTGATTTAGTACTTATTAAAATATATTCAAAGTATATCAGTAAATCAAAAATACATATACATCGCCATGGTTTATAATTAATTTTATTGTGATCATTTCAATTTGACAATTGCACCTGCATACTATTGCACCTATGTAATTATTTTTGTGTTTTACGGATATTTGAACCCATACTAACCCTAACCCATGGGTTTTAGCACCCGCATATTGAACCCGCGGATATACTCTGATTAAGCGAAAACGACCTATTGCGTCACCTGTTACCAAATTTTCGAATAGTAAATTGCTATTCTAATAGTTGAATATTCGAATATATGCCCAGATATACTCAGTAACCAGTAATTATTGACTCGATTAATGTTATGTTACTAAACTTGTATTTTTATGTAAATTCTAGGGTAAATCTCAACGTGGCTGAATTTCTGGCTTGTTGCGGACTCATTCAAACGCTCCGCGGACTCGGGTTGGGAAACACTTCCCTAGTACGTTGATTCCCAACCAGTGTGCCGCGAAGAGATTTCATTTTCTAATTCTTACTTATCGATCTCGATCGGTAAGTATGTTGATAGGTATTTGTTTGTTACTTATCGATCTCGATTGGTAAGTCCTGTGTGTAACTTTTGTGCAGATTTGTCATAGCAACTGATTGGACAATGATACAACACATGTTGCTGATAATGTAGAAATATATAGCAAATCACAACTTGCAAAATTGTTGTAAGTCTCCCGTCACTTGGAATAGCCTATAGTTTGTAAAAGCTTTACGGGGTGTGACCTTAAAATGCACCCTGCTTGCTACACAAATGCAAAGCGCACCAATGCACCAACATTTTCTAGTTTAAACGCTCTTTCACTATACAGCAATATTAGTCGATGTTCAGACAATCCTCTCCAAATTATCCCTGTCTCATACAACTGGGATACGCGAGTTGATTTCCACAGACCCACAATAAGCAACTTTAAACGCAGGAGAATTGTAACGTGTCGTAAAACTATCAAGCACTTGTCCATTCACTAGTTCGGAGAGGGAGGCGAGAATCGCTGTATTGCTATGTCACAGGTATTATATGTTCTGATCCGATATGTTCCGATAAATTGATAAAATGCTAAATGGAGGCGTAAAATGACCAGGGACAATAATGTCTTCTTCAAAACTAAGAAGAGCTATTATGGGAGCCGCAGGGGCGGATCATGCCCCTTTGGTGCCCTATGCACTTGAAGACTTTGGTGCCCCCTCATGCGTGTTTTAAAATATAAATACAATACTGTAAACCACATAAGTATATTATACATCAAAAACAATTGTGGCGGGACTGGAATTGTCCTATTTTTTATTGTTTTGTATTTTATCTATATTTAGTGTCTAGTTATGGCATATGCATTGGTGTGTGGAGTCTGAGCCTAATTCGCCCAATAGTTAGATTCAGTTACTCGGCTCCAACCACCACTGCATATGGTCAGCCTCTTCTTGCTTCTGCTGTCGCTGGGTGAGGACCGTATTTTGTCGCTCTTATTTTATCTGCTTTAAGCGTGGATTTTACACTATTTTAATAAAGTCTTTCGTTTGCATCGTGAACTTCGAACCTGTTTGTGTGTTTTTGAAGCACACGAGATCTTCTGAACTAATTATCACTAGACTATATTAGTGGCGAGCACCTGCCGGTATTCCGGTTAAGTCGTACTGTTGCAAATTGACGAGCAAGCGCCAGGATTGAAAAATCATACGATTTTTTGATTAAAAGTCATGATGTCACACCGAAGAAAGAATTGCGACCTTGAACGCAACAAAATATGGGACAAAATTGTCGAGATGGAAACCGAAAACAAAGAAATTAAAAACATGAATAAAGTACTAGAGCTGAAAATAAAGAATTGACTAGACAAATGCAAATAGTCTATGCTAGTGTTGCAAAACTTGAAGAAAGAGATTTTGGCATGAAGGAAGTACTCGAACGGGTTGTATGCCGTCTGGAGAGCATTGATGAGGCCATGACTGAGGGTGAGCTGCCATCATTTATTCCTAAACCTATTTTAAAAACCCCTGAGGTGCCTAAGAGTGTTGATAGGAATGGTGAACCAGACTGCCCTGATAATGAATGTTTGATGAATGGTACCGGTACTATTAAAAAATTGAATTTTGCTGATGAGTGTGTGGTTGACCAGTCTACACCTATGCATGCAAGTGTGAATGGTCTTGTAACTGATTGCAAGGCAGTTCCTTTTGGTATGAATAATAGTATGAGAGTGGATATACAGCCTGATACTTTTAATGGTGATGGTATGTCTTTGGATGATTATTTGTGTCATTTTTCATCTATTACTACCTGTAATGGATGGACTTATCAAATTGCTGGTGTACATTTTGCTGCATGTATGCCTAAGGCTTTGTCCTTATTGAATGAATTATCTCTTTCAGATAGACACAGTTTGAGTGTTGCAGTGAGTCACTTGAAAAAGCGTTATTATCCAGAGGGTAAGAAGTCATACTTTGCTACTCTGTTTAATAACAGGAAGAAGTTGGCCACTGAGACGCCAACGAAATATGCTACTTCCCTTCGCGCATTGTCAAGGAAAGCTTATCCTTCTTTGGATGTTATTGCTCGTGAGAATCTGATTAAGCAGCGTTTCATTTCAGGTTTTCCTGATTTCGAAATGTGTAAGACTTTGACAATCAGGCAAACTCAGAGTTTGGATGAATTAATTACTGTGGCTGATGTATGTCATTCTATTGATGCTACGCACAGTGCACCTGGTTTTAATCGTGCTAGTAAGCCCATGGTAGCTGTTGTGAATAATTCGGAGCGTGATGATGGTGTGTGTGAATCTGAATTTAGTAAGCTGCGAAATGATATTAAAGAGATGCTTGACAGTTTTCGTGCTATGTTTGACAAAGGTCATCAACCCCGATTTTCTCGTCAGAAGGGTGGGCGTAGGAATGAAGTATTACTTGCTATGGTTGTGGTGCCAAGGGTCACATACGTAGAATTGTCCGGAGAACCTGTGCCAGATATGTAATGGCAGGGGTCATATGCTTCTCAATGTGATAGATATTATGTTCCACAGAATTCGCAGCCTTCTACTGCGTATTCGGCCCAGCAAACGGTCAATGGCTCGGTGGGGAATTTTTCACCAGGGAATAGCTCAAATTCTGCCTGGGGTAGGAATGGCCAAACTCCTCGTGACGGTGGGAATATTCCCTAGTTTCACCCTGCTCCCAAGAATATTGATATGCCTTTAAACAGAAATCAGTAGCACGGGGGTCCTCAGTTGCTACTGGAAAGATGACAAATTTATGCATGGACCATGATTTTGATAATTTGATTTGTTCTTTGATATTACCCACTAGCTGGTATGCTATGTTTGACGCTTATAGATTATGCAGTTTTTTGTTCTATTGGTGGGAAGGAGTGTGATTTGTCTCCTTGTGATGTTTGTTTTCAACCTGCTAATGGTACTTCTCTGAAAGCTCGTGGTATGATTGACTTGAAAATTTGTATTGATTCTGTGTGTGCTGTTCAGAGAGTGATTATTGCTGATCTTGGTGCCCCCTATGGTTTGCTTGGTATGGATTATTTCCAAGAGCATGACTGTGTTTTGCATATGTCTGTAGGTCAAATGGAGGTTGATGGTAAAACTGTTTCCCTGACTAAGCCTGTTTCGTCTGTTCCTAGTTGTAGAATTGTTGTAGATAAATGTGTGACTGTTCCCAGAGAGAGTGAGATGGTGATTTATGGTCGTTTGAATTGCCCATGGAAACCCAATAGTGACGTCATAGCTGTGGCAGAGGCTGCGTGTGTGTTTGAGAGCGAGTATGGCCATCGTGGTTTATTTTTATTTCCCGGAGTGGTGGACGCCTCATGCTCTCTAGTGCCTCTCATGGTGGTCAATGTTAGCAAGGAAGCGGTAGAAATACCTGCGGATTTGACTGTCTCTTCTCTGGAACAAGTGGTGCCTGGTGATGTCATGGACACCAGGGAGCTACCTGAACATTTAAAGAAGCTCGTCGACGATCCAGAAGATTTAACGGTTGAACAACGTCAAAGTGTTCGTGATTTGCTCGTCGAATTTCAGGATATTTTTGCTGGTCCTGATGGCAAACTGGGACGAACTTCTGTAGTCAAACATAAGATTAAAACGTCAACACCTGAACCAATCAAAGTTCCACCGCGACGTATGGGATGGCGTATGGGATGGGCGAAGAGAGGAATCGCAGAGAAACAAGTACAGAGCATGCTTGATCAAGGTGTAATAGAACCGAGTGAAAGTCCCTATAATTCGCCTATTGTTCTCGTTCCTAAGAAAGACGGAAGTTGTCGTTTTTGTATCGATTTCCGGAAAATTAATCTGGTAACCATCAAAGATGCCTACAGTTTGCCAAGAATTGATGATATTTTGGATGCATTGGGTAAAGCAAAGTGGTTTTCATCGTTGGACTTGGCGAGTGGGTACTGGCAAGTAGAACTCGACCCAGAAGATCGGGAAAAAACAGCATTCAGCTTGCCAGGAAATAATCATTTTCAATTCCGTGTTCTTGCCTTCGGTCTGGCCAATGCGCCATCTTGCTTCCAGCGTTTAATAGACAAAGTTTTGGCTGGAATTTATGGAAAATTGTTCGCATTTGATGATATTTTGTTTATGGAGAAAACTTTGATCTGGCCATGAGCAGCTTACGTGAAGTTTTTGTAAGAATTCGTGCTGCTGGACTTAAATTCAAGCCGAGAAGTGTAAACTTTTTCGTCGTAAAGTGGAATATTTGGGACATGTAATATCTGAATATGGTGTAAGCTGTAGCGATGAAAAATTGCTGCTGTTCGTGATTGGCCCAAGCCTGCTAATGTCAAAGAATTGCAGTCATTTCTTGGATTTTGTAATTATTACAGACAATTTGTTGAAGATTTCTCTACCATTGCACATCCTCTTGTTCATCTGACATAAAAGAAAGTAGAATTTGCTTAGACAAAGCAGTGTGATGTCGCTTTTCTTCGCTTGAAAGAACTTTTAGTTCGTGCTCCTGTTTTATCATTTCCACAGGAAGATGGAGACGAATTCATTTTAGATACTGATTGTTCTGGTTTTGGAGCTGGTGCAGTTTTAAGTCAAATTCAGAATGGCAGGAAAAAGTCATTGCATATGCCAGCGTTACCCTTAACAAGGCACAGAAGAGATATTGTGCAACGTATCGAGAACTTTTTGCGTTGCAGTGGGGGGTCAAACATTTTCGTCACTTCCTGTGGGGTCGACATTTCAAACTGAGAACTGACCATGCTTCATACGTTGGCTTCTGAATTTTAAAGATCCTGAAGGCATTGTAGCTCGTTGGATATCAGTTCTGGACACTTATGAGTTTACAGTTGAACATCGTGCTGGTTCCAAGCATGGCAATGCTGATGGTTTGAGTCGTATCCGTCGCCGATGTAAGCGTGATTCCTGCACTAGTTGTGGGAATGGTGATCAGCCGTGTGAATTGGAAACTGTCAAAGTTGCCGTTTTGCAACCGAGTCATGGTAATTCTATGGAATGGCTTGCTTCGTATTCATCGACCGATATGCGTGAGATGCAGATGAAGGACGATAACATCTCTAAAGTACTGACAATGAAGGAAACGTTGGATCAACCACCTCCAGCTGCAGAACTCTTGTTTTTCTCCAGAGAATCCTGTGCAGCCAGTGGAAATTATCGAGAGTTTTTGCCATCCGTGCTGTAGGGAAATCCATTTTTCAAATTGTGTTGCCTTTAGTTTTGCGTCGCGAAATGTACCGACAACTCCATGAGTTGCGTACTGGTGGACATTTGAGTAAAGAACGAACTTATAAGAAATTGAGGAAACGATTTTATTGGCCTAGAATGCACAGTCAAGTATCTTCTTGGTGTAGTTATTGTAAAGCTTGCACTGCTACCAAAACCCCTCATGGGAAACAACGTGCAGAAATTTGTACCGAGCCACTTCTCAGAATTAGTCTTGATTTCGTGGGCCCTTTACCTAAAACTGAACGTGGCAATGAACATCTTTTAGTGGTCACAGACTATTTTACTAAATGGGTTGAGGCTTATCCTTTGCCTAATCAAAAGGCCAGTACTACAGCCGATGTACTTGTAACGGAATTTTTTAGTAGATTTGGTACTCCACGAATTATTCATTGTGACCAAGGGGTTAATTTTGAATCTCATTTGTTTAAGCAAATGTGTTCCTCATTTGAAATTGATAAAACCCGTACGACTCCTTATCATCCTAGGTCGGATGGTCTATGTGAAAGAATGAATAAGACCTTGCAGCAAATGCTTAAAGCATTTGTAGATTCTAGCCGCACAGACTGGGATGAACACATTCCTTATCTTTTAATGGCTTATAGATCTACTGTACATGAAAGTACAGGTTTTACTCCGAATCGTTTAATGTTGGGACGTGAAATTTCATTGCCGACTGATTTACTTTTTGGTAAACCTCCTGATCATAATGTCCCTAAGTGTTATGATGAATTTGTTGAATGGTTTGATAATGCTACATCTGAAGCTTTTGAATTTGCTCGAGAACAGTTGGGTAAATCTGCTGTTCGACAGAAACGTAATTTTAATGCAACTGTTAAGCCTTTATCTTTAATGTTGGTGATCTTGTGTGGTATTTTTATCCTCCTAAGAGTAGAAAACTTTCGACTGGTTGGATAGGTCCTTTTGAAGTGTTAGATTGTTTTTCACATTTTGTTTATCGTATCAAGAATGTTAACACTGGTAATTGTAGAATAGCTCATGTTGATCATCTTCGTTTATATTTGATGGAAGATTGTGACAATTTACCTAATATTAATGCCGATTTCCCAGACAATATTGCTATTTCCAATGATGATGTACAGGATGTTGTTATTGATTGACCAGAAGTTAATCCTGATTTGCTTGTTAGAGATTCTGATAATCAGACTGTTACTCGTTCGGGTAGGACAAGGCGTAACCTGCCTACTTGGATGAATTTCATACTTAATTTATTGCTTTGTAACATTTTGTTTTGAATTACAATGGGAATTGTGCTATAATGTATATTTAGGTTAGTTTGTTTGATAGGGTTTTTTTTTGTAGTTGTTATTATTGTGTATTTTGTAAATAGTATGCTTTATATTTGTTATACTTTCAGGAATGCTTTCTACTGTTTGATATTTCGTTCCACTGTGTTTCATATTTTGCTAATACCTGCCGATGGACATACACATTGTGTTTTTTACGAGTTTTGTATTCTTACTGTGTTAATACCTTTCTTAGGGGATGTTTTTATTTTTTTTAGAGTAAATTTTTTGTTAATTTTCTCTAATGAAAAGGGGGTATTGTGGCGGGACTGGAATTGTCCTATTTTTATTGTTTTGTATTTTATTTATATTTAGTGTCTAGTATGCATATGCATTGGTGTGTGGAGTCTGAGCCCTAATTCGCCCAATAGTTAGATCCAGTTACTCGACTCCAACCACCACTGCATATGGTCAGCCTCTTCTTGCTTCTGCTGTCGCTGGGTAAGGACCGTATTTTGTCGCTCTTATTTTATCTGCTTTAAGCGTGGGTTTTACACTATTTTAATAAAGTCTTTCGTTTGCATCGTGAACTTCGAACCTATTTGTGTGTCTTAGCAGCACACGGGATCTTCTGAACTAATTATTACTGGACTATATTAGTGGCGAGCACCTACCGGTATTCCGGTTAAGTCGTACTGTTGCATAATACTAAAAATTCATCAGAAACAACACTAAAACACAGCGAACATTTTTAGGTCTTCTAACAATTTTTAATTGACAATTGATAAAGTTTGCTCAAATCCCAATAGCCAAACGTAACACATCCTGTACATTACATTATAAACCACAGGAAGTTACAAGTTGAAATAAAAATAAAACTAACAAAGAGCTAGCTAAAGAGCACATGTGAATAAAACTGCTGGAGCACAGTTGAGAAATTACTGTTGAAATTTACAGGGTAAGCATCAATAAGCTTTTGACAACACTGCCAATATCCGAGACATTTGGTTGTAGCGGTAGGTACACCATTAGGAAAAATCTATGCAATTTTACCCTATATCTATCCTCTTTTCTTCAACGCAGTTGCAAAATTGTCATATGAAATTTATCTCTGGCATTCAAATATAAATCTGCTGCATCTCCATCATTGAGCAAATTATTTCTGATACGTTTACCAGTTGTTTACCTGGTACCACCTGGTTTTACAGCGTTCAAATTCATCTCGTGGAATTTTACATAATATTACATTAAGATCTGCACGTGTTTGTTTTAAATTAGCCTGTGAAAATTTATTCTAAAACGATAACATGTATTATTTACATCTATTCTAGAACCTTCGTTTCATTACTTGTTTTTCCCTGTCCCAGTATATTGCTGTGCTTCTATAAGTTTGAGAATTTTTTTTGAAATTGTCCACCATCTAGTATCAGTGAGGGATTTCAGCAAAATTCAATTTCCAAACCAAAAAAACTCTTCCATATTAAAACTCTCCCGACTTTGCCGAACACTATAGATCTCTGAAAAGCAATCGCGTAAATTTTTGATGATACTGACGGCAATCGCGTAAAATTTTGATGATGCCGTCAGTATGTATAACTTTTGAGTGAAAACAAACCCCATTGGGCCCCAAAGAAATTTTTGAAAAATAGATAGCCTGGTTCCAGCGGGAATAACAATCTTTAACCAACAAGCAATTGATCCCATCGTTATGAGAGAAAACAGATTTTTTCAAAACAAAACATAAAAAAACAGCAGGGAGAAAACCACGAAAAACGAGAACATTAATTAAACAAAACGATCCTTAGGTCCATTTCGTGTCCAATAAGTAATTTTCAGTGTTTACTACTGATTGATGGCCAAGCTATGATTATTTTACATGATTTTGGAGATAGTTCGAAAACCTACATTCATTCAAAGAGAAGCTCAACTATACCTTAATGAACTATCTAGTGTGCAGTCGGTGTCACCCAACTCACAAAGAACGGCTGTTACAGTCTAACTCTGATCCCTAGTGTTATGACATTGAGAATACATATTTTCAGTAAAGATACTGTCAACAAAATCAAAAATTATCCTCGGATATTTGTCTTGATCTTGACGGTGCAGGGCGAGAGATTTCAAATTGTCACACTGAAGAATCTGATAATATAACTTCAGTGTGACTTCTACGCGAACTGACCAACACACTGTAAGCGAGGTCTGGCACGAGCTTCCGTTCGGTAATTTTTTGGGTATCTTAGAATTGTTGGGAGTATCCAAATATAAAACAGTAAAGTTAGCCCTAAACTACCAACGGGTGGAAACACTGTTATTTCCTAGTTGATCACGCTGAAAACATACGCAGGAAAGAGAAAAAATGAAGCAAATTTTCGAAGACGATTGTGGAAGCTGGGGACGAACCAATTATACCACCGCTTTGTAATTACTTTAAAATGACGAGGTTATATGCAATGAATAAATTTGGAAAACATGCAATAAAGCAAGAAAATCTTTAGAATTTTTGAAAATCTCTGTTTTCACTTTGGAAAAGCGACACAACGGTAGACGTTTTAGCAGTCGCACAGACAAATTTTCTGACATGGTTTTAACATTGCCTCGTTTTCGCATGCTATTCGTTAGTTTTGGTTGTGTTTTGGAAATTTCAGAACGCATCAAATAACTCAATGATTA